GTGTTTAAATTTTTATTGACATAGGGTGCAGGCAGATATTACGGGCCTCACATAGCTGCTGCCAGGCCCCTAATCTGCCATGGGCCCCTATATACCAGCCTCCTCATGCTGCTGCCAAGTCTAGAGTCTGTCATGGGTCCCTGTACGGCCTCCCATTGCTGCTGTCTCCATCGCCACACTCTGCTGCGCCATGTGCCACTTTCAGGTCTTCTTCACACTGCTGGTGTGTAAATTTTTGACATAGGGTGCAGGCAGATTACGGCCCTCACATAGCTGCTGCCAGGCCCCTAATTGCCATGGGCCCCTAAATTTACCGCCTCCTCATGCTGCTGCCAAGTCCAAGAGTCTCTCATGGTCCCTGTAAGGCCTCCCATTGCTGCTGTCTCCATCGCCACACTCTGCTGCCATGTGCCACTTTCAGGTCTCTTCACACTGCTGGTGTGTTAATTTTTTGACATAGGGTGCAGGCAGATTACGGGCCTCACATAGCTGCTGCCAGGCCCCTAATCTGCCATGGGCCCCTATATACCGCCTCCTCATGCTGCTGCCAAGTCCAGAGTCTGTCATGGGTCCCTGTACGGCCTCCCATTGCTGCTGTCTCCATCGCCACACTCTGCTGCCATGTGCCACTTTCAGGTCTCTTCACACTGCTGGTGTGTTAAATTTTTTGACATAGGGTGCAGGCAGATTACGGGCCTCACATAGCTGCTGCCAGGCCCTAATCTGCCATGGGCCCCTATATACCGCCTCCTCATGCTGCTGCCCAAGTCAGAGTCTGTCATGGGTCCCTGTACGGCCTCCCATTGCTGCTGTCTCCATCGCCACACTCTGCTGCCATGTGCCACTTTCAGGTCTCTTCACACTGCTGGTGTTTTAAATTTTTTGACATAGGGTGCAGGCAGATTACGGGCCTCACATAGCTGCTGCCAGGCCCCTAATCTGCCATGGGCCCCTATATACCGCCTCCTCATGCTGCTGCCAAGTCTAGAGTCTGTCATGGGTCCCTGTACGGCCTCCCATTGCTGCTGTCTCCATCGCCACACTCTGCTGCCATGTGCCACTTTCAGGTCTCTTCACACTGCTGGTGTGTTAAATTTTTTGACATAGGGTGCAGGCAGATTACGGGCCTCACATAGCTGCTGCCAGGCCCCTAATCTGCCATGGGCCCCTATATACCGCCTCCTCATGCTGCTGCCAAGTCCAGAGTCTGTCATGGGTCCCTGTACGGCCTCCCATTGCTGCTGTCTCCATCGCCACACTCTGCTGCCATGTGCCACTTTCAGGTCTCTTCACACTGCTGGTGTGTTAAATTTTTTGACATAGGGTGCAGGCAGATTACGGGCCTCACATAGCTGCTGCCCAGGCCCCTAATCTGCCATGGGCCCCTATATACCGCCTCCTCATGCTGCTGCCAAGTCCAGAGTCTCTCATGGGTCCCTGTACGGCCTCCCATTGCTGCTGTCTCCATCGCCACACTCTGCTGCCATGTGCCACTTTCAGGTCTCTTCACACTGCTGGTGTGTTAAATTTTTTGACATAGGGTGCAGGCAGATTACGGGCCTCACATAGCTGCTGCCAGGCCCCTAATCTGCCATGGGCCCCTATATACCCGCCTCCTCATGCTGCTGCCAAGTCTAGAGTCTCTCATGGGTCCCTGTACGGCCTCCCATTGCTGCTGTCTCCATCGCCACACTCTGCTGCCATGTGCCACTTTCAGGTCTCTTCACACTGCTGGTGTGTTAAATTTTTTGACATAGGGTGCTGGCAGATTACGGGCCTCCCATTGCTGCTGCTGCCAGACATGTAATCTGCCATGGGCCCCCGTACCGACTCCTCATGCTGTGACGTTGCAACAAGGTGTAATTCAACCCTACATATGTTAGACCGCCTTTACGAACAGCTAAAGGCCATCACAGATTTCCTGATGTTAAAAGCGGATAAAGGTACTCCCTGTGTAACTTAGATGTCAGCCATTGTCAGCTCATGTGTGACACCTGCGCTTGCTCAGGCCCTTTGAGGAGGCCACGCTATTCGTGAGTCGGCAGGACTATGGGATGAATGAGGTCAAATCGGCCATGGGCCCCCGTACCGCCTGTTCACGCTGATGCTGGTCCCACAGTGTGACCTGGGTCCCTGTACGGCCTCCCATTGCTTCCACTCTGCCATGTGCCACTTTGAAATCTCCTCACACTCCTGCGGTTGTCCATTTTGTCATAGGTTGCTGGCAGATTACAGGCCTTCCATAGGTGCCACCAAGCCCCATATCGGCCATGGGCCCCCGTACCGCCTGGTCACGCTGCTGCTGGGCCCACAGTGTGACCTGGGTCCCTGTACCGCCTCCCATTGCTCCCACTCTGCCATGTGCCACTTTCAGGTCTCCTCACGCTCCTGCTGGTTTCCATTTTGTCATAGGTTGCTGTATGGCCTCCCATTGCTGCTGCCTCCACCGCCACACTGTGGCTCCAAACACTGGTTTTGGCCCCGTGACTGGCCAAAGGAGTGAAGTGTGCAGTGATTTCTAAGATCGACGGCACTCATCTGCATGTCATACTGACAGACAGTATTATTTCTCTTCCCCAGCAGACTCCAAGGGCATTTAAATTAAAGGTACAGTGTTCTGCACTAATATTAAGTCTCTCTGAAGCCTAGAAACACCCTTTTTTAAGTTAAATTCACAGCGAATTTATTCGACTCGAATCGAAATTGTCCACGAATTCGCCGAATCAGTCGAATCGAATTTTTTCATTTCTTCGCTCATCTCTAGTATTGGCATATATATTTTTTTTCTGGACTTATGATTTGATGATTTCTTTATATATATTTATACACATTTACTAGCGCAAATTATTTATTTATTGGTACACTTTATATATGGTGGTTTTTTGCAGCTGGTACACTATTAGTAAGTTATATAATTTTGACCATAGGCGCTATTATTAATTTTTCTTATTTGCAGTCAATTCAGTGCAGGAAATTCCTCTGTACCTCACATTCTGGCTTTCTTGCAAATAGATCTTAACCAGAATCTTAGTACCCTTAAAGGGCACTTATCTGCCTTATCCATCCTTTTCCAAAGGCATTTTTTGCTTCACAATCCCTTGTGAAAGCCTTTTATCAAAGGTTTTTCCTGTTTTAAATCCCCCTTGCAGTACCGTATGCTTCCCTGTGACCCTAATCTGGTTCTCTCTGCCCTGCAGAAACCACCCTTTGGACCCATCAGGGATATTCTCTTTGAGATTCATGCCAGAAAAGTAGCCTTTTTGGTTGCCATCATGACCGTCAGATCTGTCTCTAAACTAGCTGCCCTTTCCTGTAAAGAGCCCTTCCTCATATTTCACAAATATGAACTTGGATCTTTTACCCTTGTTTGGCCTGTTGGCACAGTTTCATTTGCATAGTTGCTCACCCTTTGCATTCATTTCTTGGGGATGTGCCATGGTATAAGAATAAATTGCCAGTGTCCTGTACACTATGTTTAAGATAAAATAAATTCTGACTTCTGTAAATTTCATATCTTGGAGTATAGTACAAGACAGAAGCCACCCTCTCCACTCTCCTTGGTATTTTGCATTGTTGCCCCAAAACTGAAGACTCAGGGAGTTACGAACCTATAACCCATGGTGTATGAATAAGTCGCCTGTGTCCTGTGCTCTACTTGGAGTTTGCAGGTAAGTCAAAATTCCTCTCTGTCATTGGAAGACATAGCTTGATAGTAAGAAACCTAGGTTTATATTGCTGCCTACAGGCAACTTAAACACTAGACTGAGGGCCTGCCCTTTTTAAGGGTGTAAGCCCTCTCATCTTACACCTGTTCAGTTTCACTTAAAGCGGAACCTTACCTGCTCCACTGAACTGGACCCGGTGAGGATTTGTTAATGAAAAGTCAGCAGCTACAGTATTTTTAGCTGCTGGCTTTTCATTTTTCTTCCAAAGATCCTTTTTAATGTCGATAATTTGAAAAAACTTTTAGATGGGCATCTTAGCAAACAAAATATACAGGGATATGGGAAGTGGTAGAGACATAATACATACACAGACCCACACATGTTGAACTGGATTGACTGGTGTCTTTATTCAGTCTTACCTACCAAAGCAGCCAACTGGTTTTATGTGATCATACCTCAAAATAGCTTATATACCAGTGATGGCGAACCTTTTTGAGCCCGAGTGCCCAAAACTGCAACACAAACCAACTTTTTTATTTCAAAGTGCCAACACTGCAATTAACCACTTGCCTACCTGGACGCATTGACAGACGGCACTGATCGGTGGCACTGCTGGGCATCATTGATGGGTGGCACTGATGGGCAGCACTGCTGGGCACTGACAGGTGGCACTGCTGGGCAGCACTGACAGGCGACACTGCTGGGCACTGATGGGTGACACTGCTGGGCATCATTGATGGGTGGCACTGATGGGCGACACTGCTGGGCACTGACAGGTGGCACTGCTGGGCACTGATGGGTGACACTGCTGGGCACTGATGGATGACACTGCTGGGCATCATTGATGGGTGGCACTGATGGGCGATACTGCTGGGCACTGACATGTGGCACTGCTGGGCAGCACTGACAGGTGGCACTGCTGGGCAGCACTGACAGGCGACACTGCTGGGCACTGATGGATGGGACTGCTGGGCATCATTGATGGATGGCACTGATGGGCAGCACTGATGGGCGACACTGCTGGGCACTGACAGGCGACACTGCTGGGCACTGATGGATGACACTGCAAGCAATCTCACTCTGGCAGCGTCGGTGTGGCTTCCAACCCAGCAGCTCATTCCCATCCACGCTGAACACGTTGCCCCTGGCCCCGGAGCAGTGTGGGAGCAGTGTGGGAGCCTCTTCCTCTCTTCCGCGCCCATCCCCGGGTACATCACCCCTGGTGCCAGAGCCGCATTGGAGCCGTTTCCTCTCGTCCACGCCCACCCTGTTATTGCATACAAAATATAAAATCATAAATTCCTTCCCTATTAAAAAACAGATCACCTAGGCAAATTCAAGTTACAACCCTTAAAGGTTCAAAATATATAGTACATTGGTCTAAAAGGCTTGAGCTGCACAATTTATCAGTTTACTCATTTCATGGGGTTAACACTTCTTCAGGTCTTTTAAACAAATTTTCATGTGTAGCTGAAATGACCATAATCCATCTAGAAAAAATACAATAAATGAATACAACTATTAAAGTGTCTATCAGCTATCCAGTGACAAGCAGAAATAAAGAAAGAAAAAAAGAAGAAATGCCAACAATTATAAATATACAATACCTTCACACCCACCTATGATGATCAGTGAATCCTTCCACCTGCTGCAGTTTTCAGCTACACATGAAAACTTGTTTAATGTTCCTGAAGAAGCCCCACAAATGTGTAGACTGATACATTGTGCAGTTTAAGCTTTTTAGACCAATGTACTATGTATTTTGAACCTTTCAGGGTTGTACCTTGGATTTACCTGGGTGATCTGTTTTTTTCAATGGGGAAGTAATTTATGATTTTATATTTTGTACGATATAATGTTTGCTTTTTTAATCAGCATCTAAGCTCTCTATTTTGAGATGTGATCACATAACAATCACACAGATTTATAGTTCATTATAAAAAGATGAGTCCTACTTTTGTACGCATGATTATGTGAGGATGATGCCCTCTAGTGTTCAGTCCATGATAATATAGAGATCCCTTAATACCGAATTATTTATTCACTCTTACCAACTATGTAATGTACCTAGATGATCATCAGCTTTGCTGTTTGGAAGATTTTCTACTATCAACAGCAGCTGGTAGTTTCAAGCCAGATACATTCTGAAAGTCTCTCCAGTCAAAGAGTACACGTTTTCCATTTCAACAAACTTTACTGGTGTTTTCTCCATGACTGCCCTGCAGTCAGCAGTGACCATATATTCTGTTCATTCCGGTTTCTACTTTGGCTCTGATCATCACCACAGCAGTAGTGTGACCAGACCAGTCATGCCAGTCAGTATCCCTATTCACCGCCACACCAGTCATAGTGTCACCATAAGGACTTATTCACATGTGCAGTGCACTCTGAAGAGCCATCTGTGTGCAGATGGCTCTTCAGAGAGCATTTTACAGGCAGTGAGAAGGCATTGTATCACCTCCTCACCACCTGCTTTAACTCAATGGACCCCAGACAAGCACCCGTATTCACTTGAATGGGTTGTGATAGGCAAACACGGGGTATAATTCCTGCCAAAGCACAGGTGTGGGATGTGCACACCCCCGTCTGCTGCTTCTACAGCTAAAGGGGATAGCAGTTGAGGGGCGCTAAAACCATGGCCCAACCTCACAGGTAAAGGAGCTAGAATTGTGCAGCTAGACACATTTCTCCAATCACAACCACACCAGCCACAGTGTTGCCAAACCACTGTCTCTAGAATCAGTGTTTCTGATTGCCACCAGACCATTGCAGCAGGCAACACTTTTCTTGATCACTGCCACACCAGTCCCAGTGTTACCCAGGAACAATGTTCCTTGTCACTGACACAACAGTCACAGTGTCACCACACCAGTGTAAGCCAGCAACAGTGTTTCTGATTGCTGCTACACAAGACCAACTGTTAGCAGACCAGTGCAGCCAGCAACAGTGTTCCTGATCACCACCACACCAGTGCAGTGTCGCCTCTGCCTGCTGCCAGTACTAACCCTGGCCTGTTTATTGACCACATTTCTGCATGCTGCCTGGACCAATCCTTTGCCTGTTTGCTTACCATGTCTGTGACTGTCGCCCAAACTGACCCATCTGCATGTCCGACTTACTATGTTCCTGCAAGACACCAGTCCCAGCCATCCCCTATGGACAATTGCACTCCAGGAGCCACAGGAACTCTTTTGCTCTTCCTTTCTTCAGCCTCATTTACTTCTTGGTCAGTGAACATGGCATTCCTGGAGGCAGCTATGTACCAGTAGGCTAGGCTTGCTTGGTTTATAGGAACAGAAACTGCCATAAGTGGTGCTACACTGAACTATATTCCCTGACCACTCATACCGAAATGACCAGTGCAGTACATCGGTTTTGACAGATTTGGCTTATTTGTGTGATACACAAGATACCATTTCCAATACATAATAAATCCAGACACTGAAAAAGTCTCACACACGTGGTATCGTCATACTCAGAAGTAGTAGAAGGTGTTTTGGGTAGTAATTCTAAAAAGCTTAAGTGCAGCACACTGAAACTTTATGTGGCAAACCCATCCAAACCTTGTAGATTAAACAGCAGGAACACAATCCCCAGTCTAAGTCCCAAATTAAATCATGTTTTATTGAATAATATATGAAAACCAGCAGTGCAATCAGATGGATTTTGAAAAGCACTGAATCTCATAAACTTACGACTCCTGGTGTAATGTGGAAGATGGTTGAGGCAATTGCAAACTACACATATCCATCCATACTGTATGGTTGTGCATCAGGAGGAGAACCACCAGTTAGAAAAAACACCCCAGAGCTTACTGTCTACAGGAATCAGGAAACCAACCAAAAAAGATGGCTGCTTTGTGTGTACAGACGCTACCAGAAGTGATGTCATCAGTTGGGCCATGGACCAGAAGTGACGTTGGCGGCAATCTTGATCTCTGCCTATTGGGTTATAGTGCCACCTTCAAGAGTAAAACAATAGGCAGAAAAAAAGAAAAGCACAGCTTTGCAGCGGCCTTTGATAGTGGCCAATTTTCCCTAGGCATTTTATCCTAGTTTCCTGCTGGAAATCTTAGTTTCCTTTTTGAGCAGAGAAATCTTTTTATTTTTTCCTTCCGATCTTCTAGACCTTCTATCAACAGCTGAGATGGGTAACAGACTGAATAATAAAGATCCTGTAGTCACCCTAACTCATCCTATGAGCACATGCAGGCCTTTTGCTACATGCTTGCTACATGCTTGGTCGGCTGTAACAGTCCTATCTGAATGATGGACAGCCTGTAAGTGTTCCTCACAGGGAGTGCATACGACTGATCATCTCTCGGCTGATTTATTACAGTGTCTTGGCTTCAACTTTTGGCCACCCTGTCATGGGGAAGGTACCCCACTCTTCTTCTGGATGTAGTAAGTTGCACACCCCCTCTTTGCCTGTACTTTCCTGGGTGTCTAGCAGTAGGTTTTTTTGGCTACCTTATTCCCGATTCCCGGGTTGAGTTTTGTGGCAGACCCAACCACTGGAACATAGGCTTTTGGAGGGGACTGCAGGCTAGCCTCTTGCCTACTGACCATGGGCCCTGGCATCTGAGTAAGCTCTATTCTTTGGGAGATGTGTGCATGGGGGGACCTTTGGAGTAGTTTTACGTTGGATTCAAGTCCATGTTTCCCTGAAACACACAGACTCTGAGAACAAATTTGGGGTCTCTGTGCCCAAACCAGCATTGTCTGCTTCAACCCCCCACCCCGCTAGACTCAGAGCAGATGTTAATATAATCAGCTCAAAATAACCTGATGCTGAAGTCTCTTGCTATAATCTGTTTATGAAAGTGTTATGTGTTTTACCGTTGTGTATTTGTTCCATTGTTAATTTAGTTACCTATTATTTCTGTCTGTTGGCTAGTCCTTCTGGACGTTCCCACATGATAGGATTAGTCTTGTGTCAACTTTACCTTTTTATCTAATTAGTGTGGGATGTTTATCCCAATGTGCAATATTTGTTTTTATTACTCGTGTGGGGACTGCCTTTATTTCTGAAGTGTATAAAAACCTGTATTTCTGTTCAATAAACACTTCCAGTTGCACCTAAACTAGTGTAGTCTAGTCCTTTGGTGCAATGCCCAGCTACAGTATAATGCCTTGGCCCTGTGTCCCAGCTGTGAGGAAGCAGTTCTCTGACAGAAGCACCCAGGTGGTATGTCACAGATTTCTTATGCACATGTCTGCAGGTACCCTTACAATGCAGGGTTTAGCTCACAGAACACAGTGCAGCTGTGGTTGTGATTGTACTGGTGCAGTTAACCCTTCATGCTACACATATCCTAGTTTAATGTCCCCAGACAAGCAGGTGACCCACTAGTTTTTGCTAGCGGAGGTCTGTTGACTTCTGGAGATCCCTGCAGACATGTGGGCCCTTCTCCTCTCTTCCCTGGGTGGTGTGTTGATATACTCTGCTGTTTTTTCGATCTGGCATCCCTTTTTAAGTTGTAGTATGTACCTACTGATGTTGCAGTCAGGGTGGAGGTGCTTGCCCAGTGTATCCCAGGGGCCCCCTGCAAGTGTGCACCTCACACCATCAGGCTATTTGGTAATTTAGGCCAATGTTTGTGGCCTACTGGGGCTAGTTGTTGTGCCCACCATATTGATTTGGCCTTTTTCCTGGCGTAACTGCCTCCCACGCTTTGTACATAGCATGGGGGCAGATTTGAGATGGACGGCGCCTATGTTTGAATGGTCAGTGTTATACATGGGTGGACACAGTATGATGCTGTCATGCCCAGCACCTTCCTTATCTTGGAATGCAGTACAGACTTCGTGGGGGAGGAACAGATTTTTATATGCTGTGTGGTTGCACCTCGTTCCAGGCTGCAGTGAGTTTCTGGGGATCTGCCACCCATGCTATTTGTAGTAACTGCAGTAATATCCCCTACTGCTTCCCTTGGTTTTTCAAGGATGCCTCTTTTTGAAGATATCATTTGACTCATTTCCTTCTGCAGATCCTGTGGTTCTATAGTTATGCAGTTCAAAGTGGGGGGGGGGGGGGGGGGTCTGCTTCCTCTCCGGCTTTGTCCCTGACTGTCAGGAATGTTGCCCTATTTTGCATATTGTTAGTCTGTGGTGGCATCCTTTGCTCGAATTTGCCCCTCCTGGTTGTTAACTGGGATGTTTTTCTATGTTATACATGCAGTAG